GAGCCCGATGCGGGACTCGATCCCGGGACTCCAGGATCATGACCTGAGCCGAAGGCAGTCGCTTAACCAACTGAGCCACCCAGGCGCCCTATGTGGAAAATTTTTGAGCGTTTCTAGATTAGGCTTTCGTGATACCTTAGGACATATCTTACAGCTGCACAAAATCAAGATAAAGCACTGATGCTCACATAGTTCAGAGCTATAGCAGCTGAGATGGTTGATGCTGAGGTGCTGAGTGTGCTTCCTGGGAAAGGAGCTTGGTGGTGCTGCTCTCGCTTCTTGCTTCTCAGATGCACGCTGCCTCTGTAACTGCTTGCTGCAAAACAAAGCTGAAGGCTGTTTTCGGTTTTTGCCTTTTCTCATAAAAGCAGAAATCTTCAGATTTCTTTTGGTTAGTGAAAACAGGTACTAATGTCTTTTGTGAAAGTGAAGTGGCATTACGTGAACTTTTGAAAAGTGGGGAAAACTCTACTAAGAGTCTGTTCTGGATATTTAAGTTACAGTTGAGCTGTCATTCGTTCAGTGAGTTTTTATTCCTGCTTACCATAAATTTCATAGCACTTGCTCAACATTGTTGTAAGTAGTTTACATATGTTAATCCATTTGATGCACATGACCCTGTTACTCTTCCTGCTTTACCCATGAAGGTGCTGAGACACAGATAGTAACTCGATAAAGGTCACACAACTAGTATGTGGTTGAGTGAGGATTTGAACCCAAGCAGTCTGGTTCAAGATCCCAAAACCTTAACCAGGATGCTGCAGGCTAAGTTGTGTTAGTTATTTTTTCAGAAGAGCTACAAAGATGAAACAAGACCTCTGCTCTCAAGGGAATTGATACTGTTAAGGGGGAGATATGGGAATAAGAGGTAATTATTTATAGAGTGTACCTCACCAGAAGCTATGCCAAGCATGTCTTGTGTATTCTCATTTAAATTCTACAACCATATGAGGGATGTATCTTTATCCCATTTTACAAATGAGGGAACCGAAAAAAACAAGTAAATGAGGGAGCTGAGGAAAGGAGAGGTTGGTAATTTACCAAATTCAAAGGCAGCAACAGAGCTGGAATAGGAACTGGCTTCAAACTTGTATTCTTTCTGTTGCTTTGTGCCACCTTTGTATGGATACAAAGTCACAGTATTATGTAATTATTGTAACAGCAAATTGTGTAAGGTGCATTTGGGAGCATAGGGGAAGGAGCCTTTAAGTCTGCCTGAAGAGGAAAGGAAGGCTTCATGGGGCAGGCAGCACTTGAATTGTGACAGTTAATGTTTTCAGGCAGAGAAGATAGTATGGGCCAAGTCATGGAGAGGTGAAAGAATGTGGTATGTTTAGTGGTTGAGTATTTCAACAACAAGGAAGAGAAAAAAAGAGGATAGATTTAAAACACTTGGGTAGTGCTGATCAAACTTAAAGATAGCATATGAGGTACGTGGGTCAAGTAGGAGTTCCAGAATACTTAGAAGTTTCTGTCCTCAGTAAGTTGA